TTTTTAAGAGTAGTTTTGTGCCCTTGTGTCTCAATTGGTATCAGCCATGCCCACAGCAGCTGAGCTTGTCCAAAAGGCAAATGAGCTTCGCAAGAATGGTTCTGCGGCAGCGGCACCTGTTCGTGAGGCTAAGCAACCTAGGACTCAGCTTCCTGCCGGCAAGGAGGACACCTTTGAGCGACTGCTGAGGTTTACTCTATACCAACAGAATCAAGTCGAGAATCTCCAATGCGGCGCCACAGTCGTCTACATCTTGCACGACGCTACATTGAAGACCAGCATGATGGACTCCATGAAGCTCTGGGAAGACTCCCGACCAGTCGTCTCCCAGGAGGACCGTGTCAAGAATATTTGGCACCCCCATCCGCTTGGTGACCGAAAAGTGTTCCTCCTCATCTCCTTGTTGCATGCCTGTGCTGACCTAGGGCCTCTCAAGGGCAGCCATTTGGGTGCTTCCCTGAGCAAGATGGCTTCCCTTGATACCGAGCTCCTCTCTGTGTTTGTGGGCAATTTCGCTCCGCGTTTTCCCACCCCACGAGAGGGGCGCCCGTGGGTGTTCGAAATGGTGGTCGGTGCGCTGGCCACTGATGAGTTCAGAAAGCATCTCGGTGGTTTGATCCAAGCGTCGGAGCAGATGAAAGACAGGGTGATTCGCATCGAGTTGGCACGCAAAGGCCAAAGTGAGTTGAAGAAGGCGTTGTGGGACGACCTTCGGCACATCCAGCAGTCCAGAGGGCAATAGGTGGCCAACTTGGCCCTGCGTGACCCTTTTTGCCGAATTTCCCCTTTTTGCTGCAGAGTTCAAGGGTCCTTCTGATCTCTCATGAGTGCAGATCGGTGCACCACCGTTTCCTTGAGCTTTTTGCTTGGTTTTCAGGAACTTCGCTATCGGATGGATGGCTTGCTCCCTTTTTGCTGCATGACCTGGTTTTCGAATTCATCACATTTTGCGACTTGATCCTCATCCCGTTGAACATTCTCCTGCGGGGCAACCAGTTGAAGGTCGGCACCTTCAGCTGGCACGGCGATGCATGGCTCCTGGGCCCACAGGGGGCCGTTCTCAGTCTCGACATTCGCACTTTTTGGGCCATGCATCCACGCTTTGTTTTCTACATAGGTCACTGACATACAGAGGAGCACACCTTGTGCTACTACAACCTCTTCCACGCATGTTTTTCCAGGTGCCATTAACAGTCGACGGTGCACAAATTGAT